GTTACGACTCTCGGAACAGTGTTATCAATATTGTCGTATTAACAACAGTCAGCGAGTCAGCCGTGACAATAAGTATCGTATGATTAGCGAATTAATTAAAGCCGATGACACTTGAAATTCTATATTATCTGCTGACAACAACGTTCGAGGTGGCTGATGACGATTGCGCGTACTGATCGAATTGTATATAATCAGCGAAACCTTTGTCACTGCGTATGCAGGTGTCGGTAAGTATTGCTTTCGTCGCGGATAGGCAAAAATAAATATCTTAATTGTGTATAAAAATTACTGCGGACGCTTTAATCAAATTTTCTCGCATTGCTAAGTTAAAGGAAAATTATATCGTGCTATTTTGATCAATAATGATGATAATAATTAAAAAGATTTGAAGCGAAAGACCGTGAAACCGAGCAATAAAATGCCTTGGTGACTCTAGAAACGTTGATTTTACGCTCTTGAACTGCAATGTGACGCTCACTGGACCTCCTGCAAATAATTATTCCCGCAACATCTTAAGGCGTGCAGAACGGTGCTGCGTTTCTCTCCGAGGCGAGTTTTTGTCTTAACGCTATCCTCGGGGTCCTTCCCCGACCGGAAGTCGGGTAGAGGATAAGCGAGTGGGGACACGTGCTCGAGTAACGACGGTACCTGAAGACTCCGTATGGAAAAATGGCAGCTGAGGGCCGAAAAGCACGTGCCACGCATGAAAGAAGAGACGCCGGATTCAAACCGAGTGTCGGGATAAGAAATTTATTATGCAGGGGACTTCTACCTGGAACACACCAGTACACGGTGGTGTGGCCATTGAAATCGCTGTTGATACGTTACGTGGGGTTGAATGAATAAATGTCTTGCATTTTAAACGCGCCAAATCTACAGGGTGCTCGCGATATCTCAATACTTTAACTAAGAAAATAAAACTGACTTTGGAGGATTCTAAATCTTGATGAAAGATAATCAGAAATATGATAAAGTTCTTTTAATATTCATAAAATAAATATTTATGATGTAACTGTAGCTTGCAAATTTTTATCCTGCTAAAACAATCCGGAAACGACGTGCTACGTAATTAAAGTGTACGTAGAATCGCTAAGAAGTCGCATGGATTTCTGCAGCGTTATTGTCCTACGCGAAAGCAAGCAGGCGCGTAATTTACTTTTTTTTTCGACGTTATCACGTTTCGAGCAATTAAGCGCGACCTCATATCATACTTGGCATTCGCAGAAAGTACAATGTGTAATGATACGCGGCCCACAGTTTATAATACAATTTTCAAATAAAACATGTCGGGCTTGTCATCTGCGAATGCAATTTTTTTCGCTATTTAACTTGATTGCCACCCGACTGGAATACATCGTCGCGGCGTCGTTCGTCTTATCAACTGAGGAATAAATTGTAAATAGACGGCGCCATGCGAGAGACAAGCATTCAGAATAATTAAACTCAGTGAGTCGTAACAGACGTCATTCTCCCTTCATATCTAATAAACAGTGTCAGTGGATAAATGTTCACTTTCAAAATTCAATGCTTATGCACGAAATTTTTCTCGAGATAGTTTGATTACAATTTCACTACGCTCAAAATCGATTGGTTATAATTTAGGTCGAGATAGAAAGTACAATAAATGATGATTAAAAAATACATCAAGTCAATTAATAGAACCGTTACAATAAAGTATTTTCTTTAACGTTCTCTGACACAAAATGAGTACTTTAACGCGCCAGCTCATTACGTAGGAACGTCTATTTGTTAATTAGAAAAAAAAGCGAGCTCGTTTAAAACCGTTTCCGTTGAAAGGCGTCGCTTACCTTGCTGCGAAAGGAGAATACGCATACCGGGTGGCGTTTCGCGGTAAACGCCGAGAACTGAGCCACCGATAACGATAAGCTTGCGATAAAGGCGAACTATATTTAGAGCGGCAGGCGAATGAGTTACTGGCAGAGCAGGATGAATCAACGGTAGTACGCAGATGTAAAAATAGGGCGATTTTACGGTTCCGAGTGTGCAGTTAACAATTCGAGAGCACTAAAACGCCTGACCGCGCGTTTCTCCTTTGCGAGTTTGGGATTTTTATGGATTCCAGCTAAATTGGATTCCCTCGTTATAAGGGCATCTTGTGACATATGGCGTTCACTATTCTATTCTGCGCTTTATTTTTTGTTGTCGCCGTGTGCTCGATATGGCGTATTAGCAGCTAGATTTCGGTACTTCCTCCACTTCTTTGAATTCTTCAGCGCGACTTCCCTATTAGAGCTTCAATTTACAGAACGAGTCTTTAGGGCGACTATAAACATACAGCCCTCGTTTGGAATCCGCCATGTGCTGCGTAATTAATGAGTATTGAAAAAAAAATGAAGTCGTCGGGCAACTTATCTCCGATGTGTAATTATGATTAATAGGCGAAGGATTCAATCGTTTAGCAAAATCCTTAGAACTCGGACAAAACGAGACTGTGCAAAAAGCATCTGTATAATTTTTATAAAATTCGATATAGTTTTCTATGCAATAATTTTGTTAGTTGATTAAATACTTTACGCAAGGCAGTTGCGATAACTTTGAAAATATAAAGAACGATTTTAATATTTCTTATTGCATCGTAAGATTAATGTAATGCATAGCCAGCAGCTGCTATTATCTCGATGGCAAAGAACTTGCGGCAGCATTCTCTAACCGTCTGTAACGTAAGATCAAGGGCGCGAAAGCCAATCTGGACGTTATCGAAATCCCCTTTATGCGCGCTTTTATAAATAGCGACAGTGATATCATCGTGCATTATGCAAGGTGAGTTGTACGTTGATAATCCGTTTGAAATATGAATACATTTCGCGGAAGAAAGCACTCCGCTACCAGATCAGCATATAAATCGCGACATAATACGGTGAAAGAAATAAGAGGATGATTAATTATCGAGTGCCTTTAATTTTTATAAGCGTCGATATTGTGTTCCCGTTCTATATTTACGGTTATTAAAGCCATTAAGATAGCGCTTCTGACGGTAGTGTCAATCGCACGCGCGCCAGTCAAGCAATTTCTCTCAACTCGAGAAAACACCGCACAAAAATATCTCGCGATGTATTTCTGTCCGTTTTGTACAACCGGGTGCGAGATATTGGAGCTTGGCGCTCTCGTAACGGATTGTCGTACGTCCTTCCCGATCCTGATGAGGCGCAGACTTAGCTCTGACATTCATACACTGCTCTAACCGCTGCGTTATTTATCCTCTCGTCAACCAGCAAGTTAAATAAAAATAACGATCGAATAACTTTCGTCTCAAAGTGAACGTTAATTTTGCAATATTGATAAATGTCTTCGTTTTCTACGAACGTTATATATCATTTACTGCGGTGAAATAACAGGAAAGAAGAGCATTGTTGACGCGGATTCGAAATCGATGACTCATGACGATCCTTGCACCTTGCCCGTTTGCGGGAAGCTCAAGAAGAAATCTCGAAGATTGGTGCACGCGCACTGAAGCAATTCGCGTGAATTGCGTTAACGTAACCGCATCGGAATTCCCACTGTTGAATCAGAAATTTCACTGCATCTACACATGCGAAGACGTTTCTGCGAAAACGCGTGAGATACGTCGCGCGATGAAATCTCTCTGCAGGCGGCCTGCACCGTTGTATATTTACACCAGTACTGTGCATCTTCGGCTTCGTTAACGAACGACTTGTTAGGACCGGCTCGATGTTTCCTTATCGATTCCCGATCGTCGTGAAACCTCGCCAAGAATTTCGCGGCAGAGTTATATACATTCAGTTCGTGCGATTCTCTTACATCTGCGCGGTTAACGACAGAAATAAATAAAATAATGTTGATATATATGTGTCTAGTCGAGAGAATGAATAATTTTCTCCTGAAAGCGTAGCATTACACAATGGATTATAAATATTACAAATCATTTCCTTCCGGCTTTGAAACCGCAAATTACTATTTCAATGCCTTCCTTCGAAAACCCACCCGTGACGTTACACAATAAGGCGAAATGTAACAGTAACCTCGACGGATTCGGCTAAGCATTGCGATTGCGTAGTGCGCAATGAACGCTATTGTAATAAGCGCATTGAAGTAATCCCACAATTGTCGTCGAAACGTGTTTATTTCGCACGACGGAGGCTCAACCGGATCCGGACGGAGCCAACTGGATTTTGTAATCCAGGTTCCGGTTTCCCGCGACGATTTCAATTTAAATGAACTTTGGCAAAATCATTCGTGAATGAATGTACGAGCACCGTATGTGTCTGTTCGCGCTTCGGGTCGAACGGCTTTCGCGACTGGGCGACAAAAGTGTGCGACTCGTTAAGTCTCATCGACGAAAACTCGTGTTTCGTGAGAAGACCCTTTGTGTATAAACACGTGTTCGCGACACTAAAACTGATTTATGACATTGATGCTGAAAACGTTCTCAATGCTAATTGTGAGAAATAGATATAACTAGTTTTAATTGACGCAAAGATGAATATTACAAGAAAACAATATTTAAACGATATAATAATATGTGCAATAAGCGTTTCGCACGGAATACAATAATTATTCCATTCCTTTCAATATATTTGTTTACTCTTTTCTACTTATACTATTTTTAAATCATTCTTTTGAAACATAAAATTACATCTATTATTCTAAATCCGCGTGCAGTAAGCGGATGTATTAATGTGTGCGTAGGCATCTGCGAACGGGGTGATCTGGTGTCTGGTTTATTTTCGGTCCGCGCATCCCCTCATAACGAGTCGTATCTGAAGGGTTGATAGCGTTTTATGCCGCGCGCGTGGGCAACGTCTGTCTACGAGTTAATTATGGACTAATTGTGAAACCCCGTGTCTTTGGAGTTTTTTACCGTACCGCCAAAACAGGACGTCGTCTTCCTGTCGTTACCGAATTTAGCTTAATTCAAAAAAATTTCTTTTTATCCCTTCGCAACATACTTTCTGACAAGCGTTATTAATGAACGTTTTAAGATTGACTTTGTGTGATTTTTTTTACCATTTTTGTTGCAGACCACGATCAAAGTCTACGCCAACTGCTTGCGGCCGGACATCGAATACAAAACCCTGAGCATCACCTATCAGACGACCTGTCGCGAGGTCGTGCAGAATCTTCTGAATAAGTATCGCATGCGACACCGTGACCCACGATTGTTTTATCTGACCATGGAAGTGACCGTGAGGAGGGCCAACGTGCGCACCGTTCTGCCCCTCGACGAGGACGCAAGGCCAGCCGTCTTACAATCCTGCCATCCTCGCGGCGATTCCAAGTACGTTCCGAGACCCCTTGGCCAGCGTCCCTTTCTCGGTTTCGGTCGGCTACGTGACGTAATTTCAGGGCTCACGACCGTAAACACGTCCTGCGGGCCGCTGCGCACGAGCTAACAATGGTCGACGTCCTCCGCGTCGCGCACACCGATATAATTCTTGGACACAAGTGGCCGCGTGGGTCGGCGCGATTTTTATATAGCGCGAAGAATGTAAATACGGCTATTCGGTTGCGAGATCGAGCGGACTTTATGGAATTTTAAGGCGGTCTCGATCGTAAATAATCTACGTATCAATGGAAAGAACACGGAAGATGTTTCAAACGTTCCATGCGTATGATTAAATGCACATCGTAATGCTTAAGTTATGAGACGATATGACGTTGTAGCACGTGGGAAAAACTATTATTCGCTAGATCATGAAGAGGATAGTCACCGTAATTTTTTCACGTTAAAACGGTTCATTCGCGAAGGAATTCCGACGCAGCCGATGTTGTCTTGGTAGCTCGAAACTTCCGGCGCGAGAAAAAGAAAGAATACACACATAATACAGGACGAGAGCGTTTGTCTCGCGGCACAAACCGGTGCATTCACATAGAAAGAACACTCGTTCGTGTCCTTTGAACTTTCCGACTCCTACTAGCGTCGCAGAATCTCTGGTGCATAAACTTGTGTGCTTACATATGCCTCCTCCCTGTTTGCAGGTTTTCGTTGCAGACGCGCCGTGGCGGACTCGTCAAAATATACGACAGCGCACTCATGTCCGGGGTAAATAAAGTTTTATTCTTGTATAAGCAAACAAAGACGTAACAGACTGTATTCTACTATTAATATATTGTACAATATAAAATATAATGCAAGGAAAAAAGATTCTCATTAAAAAATTGAATTCAACATAAATTATATTGCACAATGTACTTTTTTTCAGAAACTAAAGAGTGTATTTATTATCAAAATTTATTACACTTAAGACATAACGGAAAAGAAACTATTATTTGATCTTAGATTTCAATTTTTATTCCAATAATTCAAATTTGCTTTTTGCAGTCTAAATACAAAAGCCTTCTGGTCTCGGAGCAGACCACCGTAGATGAGTTAATCCAGATGCTGCTGAGTTGCTACAGCTCCAAGGAACCAGTGGAGCAGTTTTCTCTCTACGAGGTCTGCGAAGGTGAAGAGTACCAAAGGAAATTGCACCCCGACGATTCTCCACTTAAAGTTACGCAACGATGGACCAGCGTGGATCGGCATCTTCGCATTAGGCGTAACCCAGACTACAATCAGCATAGGCGGAAGGTACGCGACATGTTTACCGCTGAATTGTCACAGGAACTCCGCCTCTTCCATTTTGCGCGCATTTAAAGGCAATTTATTCCGCTTACTTCGGGACATCAATTTAGCAACTAATGCGGCCGTTCAAAAATATTTCTGTTTTAACGAGCTGTTATTGATCTTTGAAAATAGGAATGAATTGCGCGCTCCGACAAAGGCACCGTAGTCGTCCAATTCAATCCGTATAATTACACCGTCGTCGGAATTATTCATAAGAGCTTAAATAGAAAGTCAAATCTATTGCACAACTCGATGTCGTTTCAGAGCATGTGGGCGTCGGATTCGAGCATCACCGTGGCGATGTCGCGGCTGGATCTCCGCGACAATCTTCCTATTCACTACAATCCGAGGCTCGACAATAACAATCACTTCAGCCTGCACCATCTCGCTGTGAAAGCCGGCGTCGCCGCTAACAACAAGAACAACAACAATAATCACAACAACAACATCATTCATCGGGATCAGCGCCATTCGTCGTTGGGTTCCATTAATCAGCCGCCGCGCCTCGTTTTACCCCGCAGCACGGATCTGCCGAAGATGCAGCTGCCGCGGGTGCAGCCACTCCCGCAGAGCGTCCCGTCGACGCCGCTCTCGACGAAGCACGTGACTGCCTCCTCCTACGCCGACTACGAAAACTATCTTTTTATATAAGCTCGCGTAAGCGTGATAGAAATTGCTGCGTCGATCGCAGAAGTGAGACAGTCAGAGTTACCAGAGACTTGTTGGAAATGCAAGAAACACACGCGTTGCGTTAATGGCAATTGTCTTCGTGTGCAACATATAGACTCCAAATATTATGAGCATTATATGAACAGACGTGTACCTTCGAAATGTGTTAGAGAGAGAGAGAGAGAGAGAGATTAATGCCTCTTTTCGATACAAATTGACTCTACTTGATTCTTATTCGGCTCGATCAATTCTACGAGCACGACAAGGCTCGTAAGGATATTTATTAGAGAAAGACAAAAAGTAAAGACACATTTGAAGAATCAAACCCTTTAAAAAGGTCCCTTTACTCTTTGACTTTTCCTCGTAATTTTTGTATCGAAGGAGACATCTTCGACCGGGTATTGTGATGTCCAATTATATCTCTTAATGTCTTAAGGAGCGCATAAAACGCGCATTTGTAACAGCTGAAACCATTTATTTAGCTCTATTTCATTACGTTAGCTAAAATCGCGAGAAAATCGATAGTTTCCTAAATGAAATTAAAGAAGAAATTAAATCACAATGTTTAAACGCTCGTTTGCAGCTTGTATTTCGGCCGATCGAAGGCCGATAACACTGAACAAAGAGAATTTACGATATTAGAGCTAGTAGTGAGGGAAATTGTACCAAAGGTAGATGTACGAAATTTTAGATTGCGTAGTATATGTATACATATATATAAATATATATATAATATATGTGCGCTGCATTCGTCCAAATGTACGGCGCTCATCAAGCCTGATATAAGATTGTCATCATTTTTATAAACATTTGTTTAAAATATTTGAAAAAGAAATATTGAACCGATTGCGATAGGCGCCTCGAGAATTAAGTTTGTTTTTTTTTTTTTAATCTTTTATTGTATGAATCAATAAATTTATTAGGTTAACTTTAATAATAAACTCGTAATTGCATAGTTCAAAAGTGAGGCTCGCTTATATGGAGCGATTTAATACGCGAAAACGTCAGAAAAGAACTGTATTATTATTTATTTATGAAAATGTAAAACGTTTAGTTAAGCTCGTTTCAAAGCAATTTTAAATTATTGTTATCTCTCCCGTCTATGCGAAATTTTGTGCAATTCGATCGAGCAGGACATCGAAATTTATGTAAATACGACGGACGGGAGGAAAACATTTCAGTAACGCTCACTGTTATCGCATTGATTAGAATTGCCGTGAGAGATTGTAATAATCACTTTCAATAGTATATGTATATACATATCGTTCCTTCTAATTGCGCGTAATTAACGTAATTTACAAAACATCAAGCACGCTTACCGATTATAAACGTATTTTTTTTGCGCGAAGGCAAACAATTTTATCGCATTAAAGTTAACGAGCTGTAATACAACATCTGAAAATTGTGCGAAACACTTTGAGAGTTACTACGCCGTAATGACAATTTTAACGAGATTTCATCGTTTCCACGCGGAGGAAACGATTGAACATCGCGATGTTTTATATTTTACTGCCAAAGAATCGGTACGAGATACGTATATAAAAAACATAGGATAACACGCGCGTCGGACACGGCAGCCGGATGTGCGTTTATTGTACAACAGCCTTCGACGCTTAATGTCATCGGCGTGTGTCGATAAGACGCATGGTTTTTCACGTCGCACTTATATGTCGAATTAATGTACCTACGTAGTGTGTAAATATCTTTTTGTATTGTCCGTTTGTAGGAGAGAATATCGAATAATGATTTATGTGTCCTGAATTATCCTTCGTATTTTCATTTCATCTTCAAGTAGAGTGAGAACGTGTAAGTAAATTGAATGATACGCTATACATACTGTTTTTTCGACGTCAATAGCGAAGTAGAAAAGAGAAAGATTTTGTTTCGTTTGAGTGGCATTTGTACACGAAACATCAACTCGATTCGTCCGAGGACAGGTGCACCGCTTCTCTCAGATGGCCAATAGTGCAGGTCTTGTTTAGATAAACGACGCGAAAGGACCTCGATTCGTCCGAGCGGGAGCTAGAAGGGGGAAGGACGCACTGCTTATCCGAGAACGCCAACAGCGGTCTTGTTTAGATGGACGACGCGAAAAGCGTCAAGCAACCTCCACTCGATTCGTCGAAGGAGGAAAAGGAGAAGGGGAAAGGACGTACTGTTTTCTCGAGCGTGCCAGCAGTGGTCTTGTTTAGATTAAACGACGAACAATGTGTCACCTTCACTCGAGTGGTCCGAGAGAGGGGGAGACGCGTCGCTTCCTTGCCAATAGTAAAGCAACAGGCAGGTCCGTCTATAAGATAAAACGCGACGACCTTGCACGAAGCGGATTGCACGGCGACCGTCTCGATCGATGATTGAGAGAAAAAGGCATGTTTTCTCGGCAACGCCAATGATGGAACGGAAGTGGGAGGTCTTATTTAGGCTAGATCACAGTTACACAATTGATAGGCCGCTCATCGGCGAACCGCGATCCTGCATTTCCTGCTCGGTGGGATAACGCAGATAGCGAAAGGAGAAATGGGCGTGCATACTCTGCGCGCAAAATATTTTTGCCGTCACGCGCATCGCCGGCGACTCTCCGCGCGCAGGACGCAAAGAGTTACGAGATCAAGGAGACGCGACACATAGTTAGAAAGAGACACAAAGCCACACTCGAGACGCTGTAGGCGTCGTCGTTGCACAAGCGATAGCAAAAACGAAAACATAAATCATATATGAACTCTGTCCTCGTTGCACTTCAGTATCGTTCGCCGAAGAAGTCATTAGTGGAGTTATATAAACTTATTCGCTCTTATAATAACACATTCCTATCAACAATACATAGTTATATATTTTTTTTTACGATAAAAATTTTTATCTGATTAAATATTTTTTCCATGTGATATATGCATATCTGTTCGTACATGCTTGTCGAATACTCAATTTCAAAATAGTTTCTCGGTTAGTCAGGGAAAATCTGCGTCTATCAAACAATAGAACACGTCGTGTGGTGTCATGTGATGATAAAAATTTTATTTACAAATGCGACAAATGTAGGAATTCGGGCACCAGTGACATGCGGGAGAGAATCGATCGGCCGTCCACGATGGCGACGCAGTCGCGATTCGTTCTCGCGCGCATTCTTTCCTTCTGTTTCTCTCTTTCGCGTTTCATCTCTCCGAGACGCCACTGGCGAAGGAGAGAATCACTGAGATGTAACAATAATAATCTTTACATTAAATACGATTAAAATCTAGTTATTTTATGGGCTATGCGGAATTACAATAATAGAAATATTTGGTTTCTCAAGGGGAGAGGTCCGTCCTGTTGCAGGATCTTTCCGGGAAAAACGGGAGGGGAACGGGGTAAGTAAGGTGTCGGGGAGGTCCTGGGAATATACTTCTTTCATGTTTAAGTTTCAGAGGATAACATCACAGCATTGACATATCAACATCGAAACGATCAGAGCATCTCGTCCCTCGAAAGTCACCGAAAACGCTCGGAAACGAGCTTCCGATTTCGATGTTCGGATAGGGAGCGGGATGTCCTTCGCCGCCGCCGTTTGCCCGAGGACTCTCTAGGAGCGCGCTGCAACGGCCGTAGCGCTTTTCGTTTGCTATAGAACAATTTACAATATCTCGTTAACTAAGACATCTCAATTCCGTCTCCGAACAACTGTACGCATTTATACATAAGCTGTGTTTCTCTCATTTGCTCGTTCGCTCGCTCAGGCACGCACGCATACTCTCCCTCTCTTTCTCTCTCTTCTCTCTTCTCGATCTGCTTTACATCCACCCTTGCGATCGTTATAATTAGATAATCGGATAGTAGCAATGTGGTGGACACAAAAATCCAACGCAATAGCTTACAAATATTCTATTTCTCTTTCTCTCACAATCTCCGTCGCTTTCTTCGTTATCGGTGCAACAATAGTGAAATAAAGTTCTCTTCTCAAGGAAAACGAATGAATCACATGGAGCGTTTTGCCATGTGTTGAAACATTTTTTTTTGCGTGTTCGTCAGTGGGCGACACCGACTGCGCGATTTGTGTGATAGTAATATAGATAATATACAGAGAAAATCTTTGATCCGACGAACCAGCCACGAAAAGGAATTATCGAGGACGCTCGCGCGTGCACGAAGTCTATCATTCCTTTGACACGATTCCTACACACGCGACAGAATTGCATCTGATCCTCGCACAAGCGCTAATCGGCCTGAATTGACAAATTGTCTCTCGCGATGCACGCATCGAAAATTTGTATTCTACAAGAACACTTATTTACACGGAACAAGTTATAGTTTTGCATTGCTAATAACGTTCATTTTGAAAATTGCTTTGCTTTTTTTGTTTATAATTTGACTGCTAATTAATATGAATTTGTAAAAGAATGCTATACTGCATTTTCTTATACGTTCCTAAAGCATTATAAATCAATAATGTGTGAGCGTGTAATTAGAATATCTTAAATTATTATTATTAACAAATAAAATTTATTTGTTGCAATTAAATCATCTTGCAACGCGAATTTATTTAAGAAAACATGGAGAACATCAATTCGGGCCGATACATCACGCCATCGCAATCTTACCGCAATCTTCCTCTCTTCGCTATACAGATATACTTTCGAAACCGCATTATACCGCCAACAATATTATTGCGAAAGCCTTAAGGCTTGATACAAGAACAGGCATTTCGCAGTATTTTAAGCATACCGAGGGGATTCGCATCGGCCGAACGTCATCCTCGCGTCGTCTTCGGTCGCGAGGGCACCTAAGGCCTGTGCTCAATCCTCGTTTGGACCTTCCAACCATATAGGGTTGCATTCAGTGAACACGTTCGATGGGACGAACGAGGGAAATCGTCGTCGACGACACGGCGCATTAGCATTGCAAGCTGCGAAGCGACGAATAAAAATTCACAACAATCATCGCGCCGATCAAGTTTTATCCTACCTTAAAGAGTACTTAAAAATTTGCAATCGTTTATCTAATGTAATCTTGTTTTTCTTTAATCACCGTTGCTTGCGATACTCGAGACTAGAAGTATTTTACAAATTCGCGCTACGAGATTAATAAAATAATAAGCAATCAAGAGTTGCCTTCGCGCGCGATAATCTAACAACAGAAATAATCCGTCGTCTCGAAGAGGTCTCTCGATCGTTTTTTTTTTTTTTTTCTTGACAATCCATCGTTTCCGACAATCGGGGCGATCGTCGTCGACGATTCCGTGAATTCGCTAAAACTTTACACACTCTCTGCGCACATCGTATAAAGTCAAATTAGATCCGCGAGTAGCTTCGAGATTTTTTTCGCTCCGATTATATTGTCAAAGCCAAAAGTCGCATCTTATATTCCCACCGTCTTACAAATCATTTATGCCTATACGCCTTACGAATCCGCGTGCACACGGTGCGACAAAATACTTAGTCGTACAAGTAATCATCGTTTTATCAATATAATCAATCAATCAATCGTTAAACTCTCTTTGCCGTTCCAACAAATAAATATATGTATCCAAAACTTCGCGGGCGGACGCATCGAGCGCGGACGATTGGAGACCGCCGTCGATGCGACGCCGGAATCAACTCTAAGCGAATAATTATATTATTACGTGCACACAGTGCGAGCCAACGAACCAAATCCCATACAATTATCAGGTCAGTTCGCGCCCTATACGCGCACAGTTCATACAACAAGTTCGCACAACGCCGAAGGGTTCATCCTCGCCTTCGCCTCCCTTTTCACCTAACGTCGATACTCGATAGAGTCGTTTTAGTCTTCAGAAAATTCGTATGTTCCCAATTCGACTTTCAGTGTTTCGCCTCGCCTATGATCGTTCTCGACTAAGTCAAAGCTTCTTATCTAGCATAATGCCTAGACGACGGGGCTCTCTATACGTAAATGTATGTACTCTGTACAAAGTCGGTACTGATCGAGTCGCCGAATCTCGAAAAAAATTATGGATTTCGTTCACGCATCCATGGATAATCCGTACAATGCTTGACGTAAATTAATTGAAAACAGGCTGTTTGTCGCAAAGGATGCTGCAAGCTCATTTCACATATAAATGTGAAAGCACGTTTCACGATTGATATTTCGTAGCGGTGTTTTCCGAAGAGCTCGATCTATTCCAAAATTCGACGACGCGACTTTTCATTCCAACGAGGTTTCCAGTCGATCGTACAATACACGCGAAAAACTACGAACGTCGATCTACGCACTTGTGATCAAAGAATGTGGATATTTTAGGTTTGCTTCCATCAAGCTACATACTGAATTTGCGCTACGTAGATCAAATATTATCAAGGATGCTGAAAGTAATGGATGAGCCGAAATCGCTAACTCGTAAGTCTCAAACTGAAATATCGGATTAGATATTTCCTCTAAAGGAACGTCTCCCAATGTGTATGTGTATATGTATAGGGATCAATATATGTATGAGCGTGTGAATCTCTATCGCTGCTTATCCTGAAAAGTTATAAAATATTATATAAAAACGTTCATCTCGACACAATGAAAAGATATTGTAAGATAAAGCTTGAACAACTATAACGTACAGCTTTCCTGGGATCTCCCTGTAGTCTACAAATAATCAATCAATCGTACAAGCACAACGTATCGAGCGATAGTCTCGATCTGCAAAGAAATTGTATTACTAAATTTTACTATAATATTAGTACATTAGCATTTTATTAAAAAATGTTGAATTCATATTTTATTCAGAATGTTTTAAATTTATTTCCAGTAAGATTATCTTGTAACAATTTGCAAATTTATTCTAACTATGTCAGAAAAAGGACAAGAATGTCCGAAAGAAAGTCACAAGAAATATAAATCAAATTTTAACATTAAGGAATTAATATATTAATATCATGTAGTCGTTTTTAAAGCAAATGCAGATGTTTGGAAGTTCCTTATCTATTAAATCATTGCTATTCGTTTATTAGCATACATTTGAAGATTAAGCAAATTCTTTAATACCGAGAACACGTTCACTCGCAATTTCAAATGGCTTTTCAATGCGAGTCAAACGCGGGAAACGAAATTGTCGCACGGAAGCAAAAACAACGTGAATGTCTATATGGATTCACAGCGATCATGACGAAACTTATGTACAAGTCTGGGCTGCGAAAGGACCTCGTGACTAATCGTCTCAAAATGTGTCGCGCGCGAAATCACCTCGGGATGTGTCGAAATGTATTACGGAAACCTTATGTCGAGATGACAGCGATGATTTTCAATCGATCGATTTGCTGAAGAACGGAACTTCCACTGCTCTCGATTTCCTTATTCGAACGCACGACGTTAGATATTTATATCTATATCTCATTTTACAAAACTTCTCCCTAAGATAAAATTTACATCCTCAACACTGATAAGCAAATATTGGCGCGATAATTCGCGTCGGCACGAAATCTCATGCGAAGCTCCGAACTTCTCCAGAGAGAGAGACGGATATTCGTATAAATATATGTCTATCTAAATATTATAAAAGAGATAAACAAATGTAACCGTAGCGCGCGCAAATCAATTGTGCTTCGCGACACGCTTCCTCCAAGAGACGTGTCCTTAATTGGTACCGATCATCGATTGCAAAGCCTCCCAAAGAAAAAAAATTAATCTTTTATACTGAGAAATCAATGTTCCGATTAATTCAGTCTCGATATAATTAAAGAAAAATTTAATTTCTTTATTTTTTTCTAATAAATTTATACGTTTATAAAAAATATGCGGCAAATAGGTACCAATTAAAGAAGAGTTACATATTATTATTCAATCATAAAAATCAGTTTTCGAACGTTACATTCCTTGCCAATCATACATGCCTATCTAATGTTTAAATAGCGAACAATGAAACAAACAGGGTGATCTGTATGAATTCCAATCACAATACGATATTTCGTAATTCTCATAAATGCATCGAGAATCAATCGCAAAAAATGTATATCGAAGTGTACTCGTGCGCCGTGAACTGCGGCGTCTAGAGTGAAAAAAGAGTGTACGTGAGTAACTCCTCGACGCTAGATGATCGCTTTGATACTTTCGACAATGCTCTCTCCCCCAAAAAAGAGAATAGCTGACAGCTGTTGCCCGACTCGCGAAAGAATCGGCGAACAGACTGACTCGGAAAAACGTATAAAAAAGCAAACTCGAGATTACCCGCGCCTAGTTTATGCTAGTTCATATAGCGACATACACAATGTAGGACACCGCTAATCAAAAGCGCGGCATTCGCACATAGCCACCGCGTACGTATATATAGGAAAAGTTCCCGATTAATAATCCTAAGTGATGACTTACGCCGATGGCCGTAATCTATTCCGAGCTACTTGGCCGCGAGAACGCCTTAAGATCTTCGTAAATTTTATTCTCGTCAAATGTTACGTTTACTTCTCCGGGGCGGGAGGGGGGGATAATCGTATCATCCTAAGCGGGAAATGTTTCGCGTACGTGTGTCTGCAAAATAGATCGACACGATCGATCTTCTTTCACCATTTTTTTTTTTTTTTTTACCTACAGTCGGTCGGATTCCTCCACGCGCTGGAATCGACAGAGAATTGCGATGAGCATGTCACAATACTAAGAGCTTCCCGTGACGCGATAAATACTTTTTCATTATAACGTTATAATTTTCAACGTAAAAACAAATCGAAGATCTAATTACAAGTATCTTTCAGCTGAATGCCGATCCGCATTATACGCAGCGTAGCAACGCCGTGTGAATACTTGAACGGCACTCGTTAAAGGCTTCTTACAGTATTTACATAACGCCGTTGTGGTGGAAAATGTGAATAAAAATACGCAGAAGATGTTTTTGCCACGTTGAAGAAAAATTTAATTTATTGGAATAATTCCAGCCAGACGTTTGAGAAGCGAATTTAACGTGTTAGTTGAAGCGATCGATAATATCGAGCCTTTTCATCAATCATAAGCTGAAAAATTTAGTTGTATAATAATTAAATTTAGTTACATATAACTATTACGATAAAATTCAGATTATATCTGTAAGTTTCAGTCTATCATTACATCCACGAAAGAGCTAAGTAATTTTTATCCACATCTCCGCTGAACAGTTATCTCTCTTAATTTTCTCTTATCTCGATTAAAAGTTGTCGAGTTGTACAGATGGAGTTGTCACTTGAGTGTACAATTTATGTATATATGTATACTATGTACACAAAGCGTTTCCCCTTGATGCGTAACGTATGTGTATCAGTGTATACTTTTTTTTTTTTAATTTTTTGCATAGCTCTAATAAATCGTATAAACACATCATAGCGGCGCGATAGATCGTCGACGATCAAAATCGAAAAAACTTTCAATGGATTCAGTGCACCGACATCTTCCGATTTCGAGCCACGCGCTGTCGGTGCATCGGTGCTTCATAAATTATACACTCCCCCAAAAAACGCCTCGGTCTCTCTACATTGGTCTGTCTAATTAATTACGTGATCGGAGAGATGGTAAGTATCACTACGTTGATCGTTAAGTCGCTTCAGCTACGCCCGTCATCGCGACTGATGACGGTTTTCAATTTTCTACGATCAAATTCGAGATTGCGAAGTCGTGTCGATCGCAGATCGCTCCTCAGCGATCAGTAAAGTTATGGTGGCTACATCCGCCGCCACGATCGACGATCGAATTGAGATCTCTATGATCAACTGCGAAGTCTCGTTTAAAGCTTCTTCGTGTTCGGTTGCGGGCGCAATTAGCTGCTAACAATTATACCGATCGTAAATCACGTCTCTAGATAAACGTTAAATTTCATCAATTATAATTAATCGTCATTATTATCTCCTATGCAATTAAATTCTAGAATAGAAGTCAAATGCTCTTTGCATCTAGGATAGAAGTCAAATCTCGGTTTCTTTTTTTTTTTTCTTTTCGCGATCACAAGAGATCGATCGCCGATCGCTGTTCGACATAAAGGTCGGGTTTTGGGGCCTGGGAGGAGTCGGTGTGCAGGGATTAAGGCCCCAGGGCTCTCTTCACTCTTTTACGAGTGCACTTTCTGTCTTAGTCTCCTCGTCCCACGCGATTATCTCGCGCGTCTACTAGTGTCGTCGAGCTGATTCCGCGAACGGGATTCGTCCTGCGATGGACAAGGACACTGGAAGATCGTCTCGATTCAACCAGAGCTCCCTGTTAGGAAGATCGTTTTGGCAAAACGACCGTTAAACTACGCTCGAACCAGCCTTAAGCATTCGTGATAAACTTTTTTTTTTTTCGACAATTAAAAAATCGTATATGAATATTGAAAAAAATTTGTCCTTATCATGACACTTTCGAGATTTCGCACACGAGGATATGCGTGTGTGTCCAGAAATAGGATCCCCCTCGAAAAATACGGATGTGTCAAAATGTACGTGTGAAGATGTTTGTTTGACAATAATTAATTTCGGTGGACTGCCAACCGTTAGTTTAATACACTGAATATGGCGAGACTGAAAGAATTTTTCGTGCCATTTGCTTGCGATCGCATCCGGGGATCTGTGGAAAGATTCGAGAGTAAGTTTTGCAATATTTCTCTCGCATGAAGAATATGTAAGGTCGGTCTGGTTTAACACGCGCACGACTTTGAATAACGCATTTAACGAGGAGCACCGGTATGTGTGTTTTCTTTTTTAAGAGAATTATTCAATGTTATTCTTCGTACAAAATAGCATAAAAGATGGCCTCGCGAGGATGCCAAGTAACGTGCATCCCGTCGTGATTCAGGAGTCATTACGGTGAGCAATTGACGTTTGGCATAGGTAATCGTTATGATGAGCGGTTGACATGTTCTCTCGATATAGTACGGCGGAGCTCTTAAGAGTAGCGTGCGTACGTCATCGGACAAATACATTTCGATGATGTTTGTGCGTGTGGATTGTTCGGTGGTCCGGTATGATCGAGCGAGTGGCATAACTCCGCAGTCGCGGGTGATGACATCGTCAGAGTGATACGCGCTCGTGACGTTAATTGAGATATCGATTGGCGAAGCGGGACGCGAATGTACACGAAGGTGAAGATATGTTTCTAGATAGGGTGACATGTGCGAATCATGTGGAATTGGGTGACGCGCTGATGGAACTCGTTCGGCAATTTCCAAGAACGGTGATTTTGATTTTGGGTATCACGTTAATTCGACGATAAGTGAGTCGGTTGTCGGAGTGAAGGTGTTTTGATAACCACACGTGCACGCCGCTGGTGGTTGGTAGCAGAAGAAGAAGAAGAAGAAGAAAAAGTTTTCGATATTTTATCGTCAAAAAACCGTTCTTGTTGATTTGTCATTAGCGAAAGATAATTATACACAAGTAAATTGATCGCGAACGTTATCGAGATACCCGACGGCGTAAAGGAATAAATAGTAGTAGCAACGAACTTCATAACGGTGCAAGGGCTTTCGGAAGATAAGAATGCACGCATGTGAGCATGTTGAAAAATTCTCCAAACAGTTAGAGCAACTGAATCGTATTCTCTAATTGAACAGCATAATAAAATCTGATATAATACACATGTATATATACAATTTTTATACTTCCTCTTTAGAGCGCGGCGAATAAAAATGCAAGCGCAGAACGTTTTTTCCGGAAACTAGCGTGCACGCTGCTGGCGAATGGTAACGTATTGATAGCGAGGTTCTCCAGGTTGAACAGGTACGCGGAGATAAACCGTCAACGGTTTCAAGGTCGAGGTGCGGGTCCGGATAGAATCGATATATGGTAGCGTCTTTTATACTCACTGATTTTATACTCGTGTCAGCCGATCTGCATTTCTGTGCTTTACTTTTTACTCTCCTCTCTTTCTTTCATTTAGCGTAGAATAGCGCGACAGGAAACAGCCCCACTAACAGAGCGCAGCGATCTTATCGCGAGGTAGCGTTGCGCACATCCTAGCGTTCGGTAGCGTTACCGGGAGGCGAGCCCGCTAAAGGGCGGTGGTGCGCAGGTGGGGACAGCGCTGAAGCGACAGGCCCCGGGGCCCCAGCTCCTAAATAGCATTAAGAGCACGCGAGTCCTGCTGCTGACGACGTCTCGAGGCACTACCGTAATCGACCCCGTGTTCCTCCTCGCCGTAATCGTGATCTATGCGATCACCCCGATCGCGATCCATCCGCTCCAACCGCGATCTTCTCGTTCCGCCGCTGACATCTCCAGCGCCGTAACCGGCTCCTGGATTCAATAAAAGAAAGAAATTACATTGCAGTTCATGGAACACTTGGGTGTCTTGCTCAAGCGATTTGTGTCACTTTATTGTATATTAATTGTTCTGATAGTTATTGAATAAATCAACCGCTATTTTATTGACAGTAATGTATTGTAATTTATTGCTGATACGTTTTCAAAGAAAAGAGACAACTGTTATAGATATTCCTTTAGATTATTTAAAGGCATGTAATAGAATATTGAATTGCAAAATTACAAATGTTTAATGCTGTTCTTAATCTTTTCTGAATAAAGTCGAATTTTCTGACAAGAAATAATTAATTGCGTACGAAAAAAGTTCAAGATTGCAAAAAGCTGTCTATATACATATCGTTCAAGCACTACCCTACGGAATGCCATTCGGGTCGCAAAGTGGTTATCGTTAAAAACAACAAGTGAATCAGATTATTCCAGCCAACTCATTCCAACATCTCACGTTACCTAATCCATGCAGGCTCTAAGCGAAAAAAAACCAAATAAAAAAAGGAAGTACGTCGCAAAGACTCCGACGTTCAAATTACCGTTGCGCAAATGCGCAGAAATCGAGAAGTAGAAGAGTGTACTCGTCGTTGCAAACCTCGGACATGAATCTCGTGAGACGATTAATCGTGTATGATCCACGACGAGGGTGAAGAAACCCTTCATAACTTCTATCCTCTCGACTCACGCGGCTAAATCGTTAATCTCTCTCTATCGTTAGATAATTTCTATTCTATAGTCCTATTCTATGTGAGAAGGGTTGGTGAAGGGCTTGCGAAACATATCAAGTAAAAACAGGGATGAAGGCAGAAACAAAAGGGCTAGACTTCTGATCGTGACGCGTCAAATAAGTTCGATTAGTATTAATATTGAAGAAAAGATCACAGAGAAATATGCGTGAAATTATTTTATACATCTATGCGTGATATTTAGCTTCGAATTTGATAGTTATATACTTTCAAACGATCAAAAATGTCACATTTTATAGTTTAATAAATAGAAAACTATTAATCAAATAATACCGACAATATTATTTATGATTTACAAAATTTTTTTAATTGTATGCAAAAATAATATTCGTCTAAATAATAAATAATAATATTAACTATATTAATTCTGAGAAAGCATTAATTAATGTGCAACTAAATGGAAAGCATCTCGTGAGCAGAAGTTCAGTCGAAATAAATTCTAAATCGAAATAATGTAGATAAAAAATGGAGCTGGATAACAGTGGCGTAATTACACCAATTGGCAGTAATGAAAAAATTTTAATAATTCTAATACTTATCTTTAAAATATTATAGAAGCTGATATAAAATATAATAAGTTATATTCGAAAAATATGTCCGACAATCTCGAAATCTTTTTTCACGGTTAAACTTACTTAAATATGGCTTAAAAAAATTGTTGAACAGAGACGATTACGCAGTTTGAATTGAACGGCCTTATATCCATAATATTGCATTCGTGAATAAATTTTGAAATAAAGCGGGTGCGGGATTAAAACTCATATAATTGGTGTCTTCTATTCGTGAAAATCCTTGACTACTCTCTGCCCGGCAAATCCGTAATTACCCCACTGCGTAAAGATAAATAGGGGAGCATAAATCATTTTCTCTGTTTGAGAGAGATAAAATCGGGTCGGTTCCGTGTTTCCGGGCCCATGCACCAAACCCATCTGTACTTACTACGCGCTCTTACAAAGGTATCCCTATTACACAGTCTCTAATTCTCTCAATCGCATCCACAACCGGAATTAATATTCACAGGTCGGGCGGAGCGTACAATTTGGCCGGTCTATGCCGTATAAAATCGCATCCGCGATGAAGGAAGAAGTAGTAACGGCCGCACAACGGACAGGCACGTCCCGCGCTCGGGCCTTCTTAACTCGAGTGTTTCGTCTTGGTCTCTTGGTCACCGCGACCATAGTTGGACGGGCTGTGTTTTCGGATGACTCCCGTGGCAGCCACCGCCTCCACTTTCACACGTAAACAAAGAGAACATCGGAGTCAGAGCTCGTTGCTGATGACATTAGGGCCGACGATCTGCGCGTGCCCTACGCGGCACTCTCGCGGGCAAAATTGCTTTCGCAGATTGGTTTGCCCAATATTCTAAACCGCAATGTGGTACAGAGAGATTGATGATGAATATGAATATTTGCGGAGAAAATATGTAAAAGAGAAATCAAACGGGATGTACATTTGTATCATTGGTTTTCTGCTTCGCACGATTACGCGGTTGTTTTTTTTGTGCATTAATTTAGCGCAGCTTGGAAACACGCGTGGATTTTGTAACTTCTTCCTTTGAATATTTAAAATTTGCACAAAATACAATAAAAAAAAAATAATAATTCACAACATTTAACACTTGACAAAATTGCTAGATTTTGTATCGTGTTCGATATTTGTAAAAAGAAAAGTGTTATTGGAATGCTAAATATTGAAAAATTATTTTATTTGAGGAGATGTATCGTAAATCGGTTTGTTGAAATTTTTTCAGACAAGAAATCCACTCGTGATTGATAATAAATAGAGCAGCGTGCACGAAGTAAGTTGCAATTAAATAAGATAAGCATGTTTAAATGATTAAATGTGTGAGATATGGGGAGAAAAACGTTTCGGTGATTGTACGGAAGGGATTGGGAGAGCGATTACAAATAGAAACGAAAGAATTGTTCGCACTAACGGGGAAGACAAACGCGCCTCGTCTTACTGCACTGGATACAAGTTCGTATCGACCCGTACGTTCGATCCGTACATTGCCGCTGAAAAGAAATATAACGTCAGGATAAGATGATGTCGATTCAATGATAAATGAATATGCGATAAATGTAAAGGCAACTTTGATCGTCAGCGTTGCCTCCTCAACAGATGAATAAGATGAAATGCCAAGTTGGAAGACTGTTAAGTAGTATTCTGATTGATAGATCCGCTATGAGTCGTCGATCGATATATAATTGCACATGAATTGAAAAGAAAATTATAAATAACATCAGAATCCATGTAACGTGCGTGCATTACAAAAATTTTCCACCGTTATAATCATTTGTGCAAAAGGTGCATAAATGCATGCACTGACATTTAAATTGTACTACATTCAATAAACAAAATAATCTATATATACATATAATAAATAATAAAAAAATATACGCTAAAAAAATAATATAAAATGTAGGAAAATGTTACACAGCTTTTTTTAGCGAATGCAGCATTCTGGAATATTGATTAAAAAATTGCGAAAAAAAATTATTATATCTTGTGCAATTGAATTTTAATACCATGCTACAGGAAGACAACAAAAATTCCTAAATGCAAAATATATCAATAATGCAGTACATACATAGATCTCACAACAATTATATATTCCGATAGGATGCTACGAGTAATTATCTCAAGATGCAGTTACTAGTGGATTTTTGAGAATGAAATTCTACTTTCTAAAGTATATTCATGCAACTAGCGCTCCACATTGCTAGATAAAGATGAATGTAAAGAGTATACAGAGAAAGAGAGAGAGAGAGATACATATATATGTGTTCAAGGAAAATGTTAGATTACCTCTTCGATGGTAATAAGGCTCATGAGGGGCACCTGAGAGAGCAAGAAGAAAGTGTCGAGTGTTAGTAAAGTTGGGTCTCGTTAAATTTTGAGTGGGCTAAAAAACGCGAGCGGGGTTGAGGAGAACATTTTGAGGCAGTCAAGGCAAGAACGGATTATGCAAAATCTGAATGATAAAAGTTTAGAATTTTAACGTTACTTTTTTTGAGTTACTCTGAGCAATATGATGGCAATTTTCTCGAAGCCAATATTTCGGTCTCTAGTTAATTCCGAGCATTGTCAAATACGTTCGTAGACAGATCCGACTTCCGGTCGGCAGTGCCAAAGACGTCAACCGATGTGTTACGCGTCGACTTACGATTGTATGACGGTGTCGCTGCCAAAAACGATATGTCGCCGTAAATCATCGTCGATCTCTTACATTGTCTCGCGGTAGAAGACTCAGAGTCTTGGACGGTTTCTACAAAACAATTACGAATGGCCGAAGTATTGGCTCTCGAGTACCGATACTCTAATCCCGTGCTATTTAAAATCTTTACACTGTTTCAAAATCTCTATTGTTCGTGTAAAACAAAAATATCCTTGACTTGAAATTCTTTGTATTTAACGTGTCCTCAACACGCAAATATTTCGCATTGAATCTTGTATGTCATGAATTATCGAACAATTAACCAGCGGTTGATTGCTTCGTTTAGTTGAGCGTGCGAAATATTTGCGAGTCTAAGAATTTTTGAAGAGATTCGTAAAATTGATTAATAATCAATGATATCGATTAATCGTGATACCTGATGGCACGCGTTGCGTGTACGTATCTGCCGATGCATCAGGCGCAGGCACGGCGCGCGGCACCGTGGAAAAGTCCGGCGGATGCGTCGCCCTCCAGTACGCTTCTAAATACTCGGCCACGTGTTCGCATGCCTCCTCTAACTGATTTTCGTCAAGGATGACATCGAACATTTCTGGCGGACATTGCGCCAGTTTTTCCGCGGCCACCATTTGTACGTTAAGGTGACGTATCTGCGACTTTCCACGGGTCTTGATCAGCCTTTGCAGAACCTTTGGCGAAGAGATCTTCAAGTACACGATCGTGGGCGCCAAACTGGTCTTCGCCAACTGCGACGGATGGTTTATGGTGTCGCAGTCCAAAACAACTAGCTGGAAGTGCGTGTTAAGCTTTATTCAAAATGGATTAATTTATTTCAATTATTTCTAACAAGACTCGTATGCATTAAAATAAATATGTGATAAGTAAAAATAAAATGTTATTTTGAAATATATCTCTTTCACACACCTGAAGAGTCCGTGCAAGTTCGAAAATCCTTTCGATCTCTTGCTGAACTTCCGCTAAACAACTACTCCTGCTAGTCGACCTCTCCATGATCGCTCTTTTAGTTGGATTGTTCAGCAAGGATCTCTTTGCTAACGAAATATCGGCCATTACCCTCGTGATAATAATCCTACAATCATAATAGATATATATATATATAAATAAAAAATATAAGAAATATTAAAAGAGTATTAACTTTTCAGTATTTACAGTACATTTAATATACACAATGTGTTATAGAAATTGTATATTACGCGTATTATAAGCTAAAAGAGATTTATATATAGCTATGTATGCGCACACAGGAATAGAATTAATGATAAATAATATTCGTTTTGCTTCGGTGATGCCAAAAAGAGGGTCAACCTCGTTAACATTAATAGCTATCTATTTTTTCTCGTCAATTTCAAAAGAAGAAAAAACTTCAGCCTATTTAAGATAACTGCTGATATCCCTCAAGACGGACCTGCCTTCGAAGCGATGCTTGAGAAAATCGAAGAGCGCCTTCTGCATCATGTCCGTCACCTGATAACCCTTGAGCGACGGCCCGACCAGCACCACGGGCCTCATGGAGGGCACCACGTCGTAGGGGGTCGTCGTCTCCTGAAAATCCGAGCAAACGATCAACCCAGCCAATCGAGACGAGTCCCGTTCGCCGGTATATCGGCCCCAGGATAGTCTCACTTACGTAGGACTGCGTGTGAGCACGGTATGCAACATTGAAACATTGAAATCAGTTAATGGCCACGTCGACTTGACACATGCGACCTCCTGCACGGCCAAAGTCCTTCCCTGAACGTGCGAACGCCCGTGAGACATCCTCTTCAAGCACCGAAGGTACTTTGGCCAAGCAGCATGTTAGTAACTACGATATCGAGCTATTAAGGTATTAACGATTTCCTACGGACTAATCGTTTCGTCTAGGTTTCTATCCTATGGCGGTGAATGATTTTCACCGCGACACGCGGCCCCGAATGGAGATGATCGCTGGACAAACGCTGTGGTGGCGGCGAAAACGTTGGTGAGAAATGTGTTAAATGAATGACAGTATTTACCAGTCGTTTCCAGAGTTTCGTGCGTGTATTGGCACGTTACAATAATTATGTATTTATCTTGCTATGAAGACAAAGTTTCGTGAGATGGAATCGCGGAAATTTTAATAAAAGTTACTTAATCCAATATGCACGCGTCTCTAGAAAGTTGCATATTTATTAAAATAATTCTACTTGCATTTTCGAAAAGAATCATAATATTTTTTCGACTGGTAAATTTGGCATTTTAGGCAACGTCCATACGAAACTATATAGCTACAGAATTTTTGTCAACGTTATTTCCATTATTTTCTCTACGACAGTCGACAAAGTGACTCAACACAAAGTTGGTAAAATATCTTGTTTAATTTGACCAGAAACCCGAGTTAAATCGTTTCAATATAGACGGAGCCTAGAGTCGCAAAGTCGATTTAGCATATAGACAGGCTAAACATTGTCTGTACGCTTAACTAGTGTGAAAAAAGCTAATGCATCATGCGTCAACTAAATGCAGCTGTGTCTTAATCATGAAAGAATGATTAAATAAGCTATTCCAAGCGACAATTAGCACATCGGAACATTTAATCTTAAAATTGATGAATGTTCAGACTTTTTAAATCTGAAGACCTCCCAGTATCTATTATTACGCACGACACATCGTTGGACATCACGCCAGTTCATGTGCGTACAGCCTAACTCAAGTGTGAAAGCTCAAAAAGTGGCAAGATGTGCATAGTGCATTAGTTATTCGCGGACAGCGGAGCTCGCCGAGCGTTTACCGGCTTCTTGAAGAAGTTCTTCCGCTTTTCCTTAGCAGGTGGGGTTGTCAGGGTCGCTTTGCCGGGCCGCACGTTCCCGACGCTGTCGCTGTCGTCACCTGTCGAAAGAACAAATTCGACGTTACTCGAAATCTTGTCTGAATCGCGTGCGATCGACGAGTCCCTCTTTCTCTTAAAGAAGCTATCAAGAAGCATTTAACTGATATAGCTGTGATATGCAGCCTAAATATAATTCACTAATTTATGCTTATAGCAGCGGCTATTGAAAATTCAGCAGCTAGCTACAGCAGTACATACTAAAAATCGCGTGTCTGCTGATGAGTGGCACGAATACGGTGACTTACCTTAATGACATTAGTAATGAAATGGAAACTAAATAGAGCGTGTGTGTAAGCGAGGGACAGTAGTGAACAATTTTAATCGCATGAGAGCAAAAATGAAGCTCGCATCTCCGTGTAAACCGCAAGAGAGAGAGAGAGAGAGAGAAAAAATTGTTATTTATTGTCGATTTAATAAATTGCTGTGATATCAAATTCCATATGTGCTAGAAAATGTTGTAATATCACACGTTATGGTTTACGTGAGTAGTTTTTTTTTTTTTTTCTCTCGCGGCTCGCACAGAAGTTGCTTCGATCTAAAGTGTTTCGGAGCAATATAAGCACTGGAAGCTGGTGTTTGCGTGTCTGAAGTAGTAGGATACTTAGGATCTCAAGCGAATTTTATTCGTCACGTTTTTTTTTACGACCGGCCTGTGGTAAAGATCCGTCCGCCTGTAAGTCACTCTCGTGGATCAAGCTGAGAAAGTACCCGATCAGATAAACCGAGTTGGGTACACCGTGAATTTCGGAGAGGGTGGGGATAGAAAGAAGGACGTGCTAGGATACCTGGCGTAGGTGGTGTGGAACCACGTGAGGGCATACCACTCTCGCCAAGGTTCCCTGAAGACCCTCCTCGCGTCGAATAGAGGCCCTTCGTGCCACGTGCCGCGCTCGCCTGCAGCCTCAAGGCCTCCAGCTTCACCGGTGACGGGATGAAACCCACGTCGCAGTTCTCTTTCACGAGCCTGCCGATCCACCAATTGTTGTCGTACTTCTCCTAAGGGAGAAAGAGAGAGAGAGCACGATTTGACAAGTTAGAAAAGTTTTAGAAAATGTACGGTAAAAAAGAAATCGACAAAACGAAAAACGCACCTTGATGTGAAGAAAGTCGCGGACGTCAAAGCTGACGGCTGAGCCGTGGACGGGTGAGTCATCGTCGACGGATCCGTCATAGCTCACGTTGGTCCGCACTGCAAACGCTACCGGCTTCGACTGAAATGTCATTTGAAAATTCCATAAGCATGTCGCAATCGTCGCACACTTATCCGCTCAATCAGTCGCCGTGTACATATTCCGATTTATATCGATTAAGATATAAATTTTAATTTTTAAACAATGATTTAATACAGCATTATAGTAAAGTGATATTCAACACTCCGATTGAAATAAACCGATTTGATCAAAATATTAGCACATCGGAAAGATTCATAATGCGCTATTGCTTTGCCGCAGTAAGAAATCTAAGCTATGATTATCAACACCGTTGACAAGCGCGGTGTCGTCGCGTACCACCGTGCTTACGTATCATCGTTCCGTCTTATCGACTTTTCTATCGGGTCACGGTGCAACTCCTATATCACGATGTGTACACAAACACGGACAACTATATCGCGTGTACGGAGTGGAAAATAAAAGCCGGCCGCAAGCCGGCGACGAAGCTTCACGGCCGATCGACACATTGTCAGCTTATGCGTGGACGCATTGCCAGTGACAACACCGTCGCTTCAATAAAGAATAAAAGAGTATTGCGGCGATGGAGAATTTTTTTCGTTTTTATTGCGACGAGCTATCCCTCGAAGGTCGTCTTCCAATCAATATCCGTTCACCGCTAAGCCGAAGAAGACTGAGTCGATCAGATCCTTGTATTTGATGTCGTGCTATATATTTCATAACTTCACTTGTGCCTGTTATTTGATTCTTTGTTACGTAATCTAGTGCAAGCGAAAATCGTCACGAATCAATTTCGCCATCTGCATATTTACAGATGTCAGATTTATAACACAAGATGTACTACATACAAATATTGTAATATAAAACGCAAATCAAGGAAGAGACAGTCGCGAGGGAACTGCGAAGCAGGAAGCATCATGGCTAATCAATAAAGAATATCCTACAATATTCAACCATTTTGTAATTAAAAATCTTATAGGTATTTTTTTAGCAAACATTGCTTGCGAGTTTCGCTTTAAGAAATTGATAAACAAAATGTAATTTTTTGATAAAGTAAAATAGTTCAAGAAATGCTGCGCATATTTCACTCCCAGAATGCTACGTGAACGCGATATCATTGCCGCATTTAAAGGCATAGCACGCGTACAGATCCTATATATATATATATATATATACACACACATACACACACACACATATATATATATATATATATATGGGTTGATTTCATATTTTTTCATTTATTTATCTTCACGGCTCAAAATACAAGTGCGCAAAAAGAAGTTACGCTAAGTTCTGATTGGCACTTTGCCGAGCTACGTTCTTTCTTTTTTTCCTTCGCTTCCGTTACAGACGGCATCCAGTTCCGTCGCTTCTCATGCAAATTCAGGGTGTTTATGACGTGGCGATGAAATACGGCGACGATGATGAGACATCGGCTCGATCGATAGGCGGCAATCCAATGCGCGCGGAAAAAAAACCGACGCGGAGCTGTGAGAGCATTTTCTCTCAGCAAATTGGAACGCGCGTGGAATCAATGACTTACTCTGGCTTTTTCGAGTTGATTGAGGGCCTGCCTCTCCTTCTCGCGTCGCAAGCTCTCCTTCTCCTCGTCCAGCGAGAGATCTGAGCTCGGCTGCGAGTAGTTCGAGTCCGCCGAGCCCTGAAATCAGACAAGTCATTCATTAAATCTGCAGGAAATTTCGCATAAAATCATCAAGTTTTACAAAGTATAAAACATTTGCTATTTATTTGGGTATCGATAATTTCTGCATTTATGGTAAATTAAAAGCCGTTTGCAACAACATTTATAAGTGTCGCTTTACAGCTTTTCACAATCTTCGGCACGCGATCACGAAGGTTTCTCGTCGAGACAGATAATGTTATTCAAGGAACAGACCCAAGAAATTTCCAACATTGATTTATCTCTACTACAGCATATGCGGCATTTCGAGGCGAATCGAATGGCGTGAACAAAATATTCCAAACAAATACATGTGTTGAATAACCGCGATATAAAGTTTTGCAAAAATATCATCCACAACTTGTTTCCTATATTAATCTTTCAAATAGCGAGTAGTTTCAAGGGAAGTTTCACCTCTTGAAAGCAGTATATTTAAGCAACATTTATCTATTCTGTGTAACCATGTAATACTAACTGTGACTTTGTCCGCAAGACCGTGAATGATAAAGTGCCCTACGACGCAGTTCATTACGTCTATCACGCCCTACAAGCATCGACGTAGATTACCTTGTAACAAAGGAAATCAGTCTAGCAAGCGTTAATTAGTTCCTGTTAAAATTAAATGAATCGATCGAATAGGAAGACCTACGCGCTCGATGTTCGTAGTCGCAAACAAGAAATTGAGGCCAGAATTCGATTAGGCGTATTAATAGGATCGAAAAGTCAGAGCGATCTTCTGTTGTTTCAATAAATTTAAAATTACGATTTAAGATAACACAGCAGAAGATATAAATATATTTATATATTGAGTATACAAAATTCATCTGCAAATAATTTCTTTTTGGTTGCAAAGCAAATCCTTATAAAAGAGTGAAACCTTAAAAGTATTTTCTTTTGCGGGAGCATTTTCTGAACACTTGTCAGAGTTGCTCTTTTCCAATTTCTTTCGAAATAAGATTAGAAATAAATCATACTCTTTATTTAATGTAGTTGTTAGAAATATTTTTTTCATAAATTCTTTTTATCAAAAGTTATTTTCACTTTAATAATAATAATGACAACAAAAGAATTATTTTAGATTAAAAATAACGTAATAAATAAACATTTTTGTTTGATGTTGATCAATTCTCTTAACTCGCTTGAACTATCACTTCTCAAGCAGCGATCGTGTAAAAAAAGATTTTATCCAGCAACGGTTACATAATTTTCATTTCTGTGTGTTTTCCGATTAATTATATTTAAAATTACGATGAGAATTCTTGTGCTATATGCATATTTTCTCAACCTTACATGATTGCATTATTTGTCGCTCAATCATTCGATTAATCTCGCCACGCTCGGCTTCCGCCAATAAGAAAAAGTATAAGGTCAGAGAGATTATTTCCACAGGACCAACCGGTATCTTTTCCTACCAAAGAAGCTTTTTGAAGAACAAATTTATTCGATCAACGGGTCGTAGCTATGCCAACAGCTTTTAGTTACTACGCCATCCAGTTCTCTATAAATACATGCGTGCTTATATGTCTACCTTAATTTTTTAAGTTGCAGAACTATAGCAGAAAACTTTGAGGAAGGATAAGATTGATTGACTTAATTAAATATTTAATAATAATTTAAAGACAACGTAGATGTAAATAATTTTCTATCAAGAATTATTATATTTATTAACAAAACAAGTTGCAAATTTTCGACACAAATTGTACGTAAAAAACTGAGAGCCTTTGTGTAGAAGTTCATCAGTGACAATGTCTCGAAAGATGTATTGTGAATGAGAAAAGTGCATCAAGGACAAACAGTGTAGCTTCAAGGCTAGTAAAGTATACCATCCGAGCGCACAGCCCGATTTCACACTAAAAAAGTGAACCTAGATCGAGCGCGCGATCGGTGTAAATCAGTGTTACGGTGCAACAGCGGCACGGATGATCGCTTCTGCTTCACGCCACGTTGCCTAATACGAGGCTTAAATGATACGTTGCAGAAAATCCTATACGTCTAGGAAGCGGCACGTCTTTGACGCGATCAGACACTCTTCCTTGCGCCTCCTTGCTCAAAGCTCCGGTCACGATAATCAGTTATTTTTATATGACAGCTTCGCTCGCAAGGGACGAAGTCCCTTGATGAGTTTAATTACACTCATCTCTTGATAGGGGAAATAAAAAGATAAACAACGTTCGCTCCTACAAAAATGTGCTTGTTTATTATAGCCTTGAGAGAAAAGTGAAGGTAAGATCGACAGGAGAAAATGTGATAAGCCAAGGAGAGCGAGACTGAAAAATAGATAAATTCCAAGTGATAACTGTGACTTAAAATCATCGTACGAGGACAACTGACAAAGATAATATTTTGCCAAATTATTGATTTAGATATATTAATTATTAAAGTAAATAAAATAGAGTGTTTGTTTCACTTCTATTTGATATCGATCTCTAAAAAAAATATTGAAACATCCTTGATATTCTTTATTAGATGAAGAAATATTTCTCATCGTCAGTGTACCTGGGTGAATAGCTTGTTGTAGCCAGAATTGTGTTGATTGTACCCGATCATCGCCGGGAGTCACCATGGACGCCAGAGTTGTTCTTCTGATGGTGTTTAATCCGCCTTCGCCCCGCTACGGGGCCGAAATTTATCGGATTGATGTTCTAAGCTCTCGCTTAGCGCACGCTACCGCATGACTATTTTCACTCTCATCAAAATGCTTGTCTATGTCGCACTGATATCTGAGTTCGTGCCGCTACGCCATGTTGAATGGCGCAGTGGCACAAGGTTTCGGAGAGAGCTTCCCTCAGGCACGTCGTATCTCGAGCTTTTTTCGCTTTCGTTTGCAAGCCATCCAAACAGGAATCCTGATCTACTTCGAAGCGATCGTCATCGTCTCACGATGACAGGACGGTGTGCGTTTCGCGTTCACGCCGAATAATAATATCCAATTCAAAATATTCATTTTTCTATTAATAACTCTCTGCGGGACAAAGTGTAATTTAAACTTCAATTCAGGTCAACTGCGAGTAAGCATCTCGTGAAAAACAGGTCGTAGGGAAGAGAAATGGACGTGTATGAATCGCAGACGAACGCAGGCGTGAGTTATCGATATAATAGCGTATTAAATTTTGCACAATGTTGTCGGGTCTATAAAAAAGTATTACACGATATATTCTAAAATTGAGCGAGGGAGCCGCAATTGACCGTTCCGCAATTGACCCGGCCAAGTTTGCTTGCGAAGGAGCGTGGAAGGATTACAAAGAACTTAAATGCCACTCCCTAAAATTATCTGCCCCACATTGCCGAAAATGTACACGTAAGCACGAAGCATCAATAAATTACACGGCGATGCGGGATGAGAGACAAAAATATCTTGTATATCAATATCAATGATAAATATAATAACGTCTACGCCTACATTTCTATCTAGCTATCTTGTAAGTCGTTTCTATTTAATTCGTTTATTCTTAGCATGTTATTAAAATTCTAAATCTAACTTTAATTTGATAAACTGTAATTATTATTCAAAAAATTGTAAATCAATACACTCGACGTCGAGGAGATAAGTGAAAGACTAATTCACGATGGCGCAATTTCTGGCCCTCGGTGATTTTTACAACTATTGACAAAATCATTATGTTCGCTAAAGTGACGTTACGTTCACGGAAATCGGCTTCCGCTCATACAATGACGAAATGCACTTAGCGAGTTCAGTCCGCCACTTCTGCCATCACACGGCTGATATAAATTCGCACGGACTACTTGGTGTAGGCAATCGGCGTCTATTCCACTAAAATATTCACGGTAATCGTAGTTGATTGAAAATTTCATTGGCTGTGCAATTCAATAATCCTGTTAGGTCACATGACATGCGAACATTAGGCCAATATATGAGCACCGCGGCAGAACTTTATATAACGATCCATCCAGAGCGAATTATTTAACTCGCTCGATGCACGATTCGGTTTTATCACGGAAAATATTAAAAACGCTAATAATATTTCGAAAAAAAATACTGCAAAAACTTCCAATGAAATATAAATTCTGTAATTATTTTTCAATTAACTTTGTGTGCGCCACATTGTTTTTTTTCCACTCTTGAAAATTAATGTAATGTAAGATTGTAAATAAAATTTTTGGATTATAAATCACAACCGCGATAAAAATAGTAGCATTTCCGTGCATAGTAGAATGCTAACTTCTAATTGGCTGAGATTTTCAATCGATAGTGCTTTATTTGATCTGATTCGATCATTTGTAGCTTTGACGGTAAACTTTTTAACCGGTTGTCCCGGTTGCTGAAGAGTCCTTGAAGTGAAAGAGATCGGAGATCGCTCCCGATAACGCTACTTATGTAAATCGACTGTTTACATGCCTCAGATGCACTCTATATACTTTTCCAAGATTAATTCGAAGAATCTCGATCAAACAAAAAGAAGAAACTGCGCTGCTTCTTTGATATGTATAACTTCAATGTTAAGCAAAAGCTTTCGAGAGGCGAATAATTTTAAAATTCCATATTTCAATAATTATTCAATATGCTTCTTATTCATGATAAATATCTTTAATTACGACGTTGTAAAGTATTTTCTATAAATGTTTACACTGCCGAGAGAAGCGGGTCGAGAATTGTACAAATTGTAAGGATGAAATTTTCCTCGTTACGAAAAGGATCAATTTTCTTTAGCAACGAATTAAAGTGACTAACTTTGTAATGTAAAATTTTCCGAGAAAACTTTGTTATACACCTTGGTACATCAGACTGAAATTAAAGTTCCGTTCAAATAAATCTGTAGTCACGAAATGGACTGTGTGATTTTTTGCATACCCAGTATAAGAAATGCAATAAAGTGCATTGGAGAGTTAGGAATTTAATTCCGGGCGAATATGAGAGATGTCATTTTACCCGTAATTTCTCTATAATATTCCAAAGGAAGAAGCTTTTATGGCTTCTATTTACCGAATTAGCCTCGCCTTTAAAAAAGAAAAAGCCGCTAATATGCAATAAGAATGAATAAAAATTGAATTAGAATAGCAAAGTGACTCCAGAAAATAATTACGCGTAGAGCGTCGTCACGCAATTCCCCGATCGCTACATCTATCTGGATAATTAATTAATCCACTACAGAAATAAATAGGCTCGTAAATAACCTCGTTATTGGCTTCGCCAGACATTCGTAAGTACAGCAATTCATTTAAAATTCCTGATGGAAACGCGAAATCAACTCTGAAATATTTAACTTTATCCCTAGACAATCGATACTATTGACCCCCTTAGAAATCCGTGTCTATGATATTCGTCGCTCGATTGGAATTATTCGAAATTAAAATAGTAATCGGTAGCAAATTAGTAAATGATTTATCAAGGGTTTGTAAAAACATAACACAGAAAAAATTTAATTTAGAATAAAACGTAAAAGTAAAAACAAACAACCAAAAAAAAACTGTTCTTTAGATAAAAAAATGTTATAGAACCTGCAACATTTCTATCAACGTGATAGAAATGTTGTTAAAAAATACTAAACAATGTATATTGGTGTTAATCTCTTTTCTGGTTAAACTTGAATTAAAAAAACAAGGACGAAAGACAACCACTAACATTCTGTCCATCGATTAAACTTCTGATAATTTTCTGAATTATTCAAAACACTTTTTCCTTTCTGATAAATACGATAAGCGATATTAGGCCAGAACCAATCACTTCGCAGATCAATAAGTTTTCTCCAGTCTGTTATTTTTGTAATATTAATCCTCGAAAAACAATTTCCACGGGAAGCGTCAACAGAGCGTCAGTGACATTACACCTCACATTTCCAATTATATTTTAAATAAAATCCGCTTTATAAACCGAAACTCTTCATCGTGAAATCCGCCGAAGCCGCTAAACCGATGGTACACCGCAGCACCGTGGCGCCCGGAAGCAGGTCAACGACATCATGCAACCTCGAGTGCAGTTTCCACGTTCCAGCTCGCCAGTCGATCGACAAATAGCTCCGACTGGTCTTATAAATTTTTACCTGCGGACACCTGCGCTCGTCTGATTATTCTCATACCCTATCGTTCGCACCGTATATTCTTTACAAACCCCTCTTCACACCAAGAAAATCCCATCCAAGCACCAGATAAATCATTTCCGAAAACTCTCTTCTCCTCAACGTGAAAGAGCATCTTGTTTCAAATACTTGGGACGCTTTATGTCGCACGCTTTATATCGCATTCTTCCGACACAAACACTTCAATTTCACAGAGTACGCGCGGACGATATCCCAGAGAGAGAGAGATCTGCTATCGAGAACGAAAGTTTCGTCGATCGAAACTCTCCCCGCTTCGTGTGCGTTGCGTCACGCGTGTTCGCGGCACGCGAGTTTTACACCCCCGCGACTTTTCACTCCTGCGAGCCTTCGACGGCGACGACGGACGCGGCGCCCGCGAGAGCGATTGGTCGGCGGTGCCTGCGCGCACTGACACTATGTGATCCTCGCGAATCGCGAACTCCTGGCCGGGTCGCTGTTACTCTGGCGATAGTGCCGCCTTGTGACTCGTCCGTGCGCGGGCGCCACCGCGGATGGTCGGACGACACCCCCGTGAATATCGATCCCCGTACTCGGCTCCGCACCGCCGCGTCCTCCTCCGCAAACCACCCAGAGTGCGACCCGCACGACAACGCCAGGCCACTGCTCCCTGATGGCAACGTGTCCTATCAGCCACCCGGTGTACACGTTTTCATGCACGTAGCGTTGCACAAGTATGACAGACCGCTCGTGTAAAGACGAACTCGTCAAACGCGGAGGTGCAATTGCGAAAAATAGAAGAAAGTGTTTATTCGCAGACATGAAAATTGTCAGCCAACTCAATACGGTCACTTTTGAAATGTTGCAATCCACCGGACAAAAATATTGTATTTCATATCACACGTTGCTTCTTTGTAATAACTGAATCGATTAAGATATAGACGCAATAACGATATGAGAGAAAATATTAACTTAATATAAATTTCTTATACACTTATTGTTAAGTAACATTTAGATTTTCCTTTGCGGCATTATTAAAACATTGTGTTTATCTGATAGAGATATAAAACCTGCGTGCTGATAGCAGTGCCATGATGAATAACACATTCTTTTATCTAGTTAAATCCTAATATGTTGTTGGTTGCTTCTATCATGGCTAGCGTTGGAATATAAGAGCGTTAATGCTGATTTCTTTTTAAAGCCAGTGTATTTTTAATCGCAACATGGTCGCACAAGTGCTCCATATGTCATAAACATAATGCAGATAAAAAAATTGTCATTCTCTTATCTCGGAGGTTGTCGACCCATTACGTCCTTTGTATAACATACACTGTTGGATAATTATTCGACTACAAAATACTACTTTGTTTTTTTAATTGTCATTTGATAAGTATTACAAATAAGAGACACGATTTCGCATCAAGTTTGCGCGCAACAAAGCTTAATTGTTATTACTTTTATTCGCAACTTCACTAAAAAAATCATGCAAATGAAAATTATTGTCATTTCCAATACATTTTCTACATATTATTATATTCTTAAGCTGTATTCCAAATAACTGTGTGCTTTTCAATATTAAAAAAATAATAAAAATAAAATATTATTGAAAAGAAATATTAATATTAAAAACAGTTAATAAGAAATTGAGTTATTTTCTGCAATTAGCTTCATCCTGAAATCTAGGTCATCTATGTAGGTCACGCAGGGTGCGTGCGCGTGCCGCTTGCTTCCCTTTCAGCCTGCTACCTTCGGATTTTGCAGTTTAAATTGCAGTCAATTCCAAAGGTTGCTGCAGGTGTTACTTGCGTGTTTTTTCGCCATCTGTCATTATTTTCACTATTCAAAGTAGGCCATTATAATGCATACATATTTGAAATACTTTGATATAATTTTGCACTTTCCTTCATCGATGAATTTCTTGATAAATTTAAACTCCTAGTTTCATAGATCTGTTTTATTAAGAAAAAATAAACTTTCACACACATTTTTTCAAATGAAAAGAAGTCCGAATTTGAAGACACCTTGTAGATGTCGGAGGGCTTCGATCTCAGAATAGCTTATAAATAAAAGATCGATGTACTATACGAGTGTAACGGCAGCACCTTTCATTGCGGTCACGTGGCGCAGAAATAAAATTTAAGAGCATTGTGCTTGCGAAAATGAAACGCGCATGCTTGCGATATGACAGATCGCGGGCACAAATGATGGAATTGGAACTCGCTTTTACAAGCGAGTACCAACCTACAGCATGACCTTACGAATATATGGCTTTTCGCCAATAGAAATATTGCGGTTATTGAAAAAAATACGTTTTACACAATATCGATCAGTTTTATACATGCGGTTTCTGTTTTGTTATATTACTATAGAATTCGCTTCCGATCAATCAATCGAGAGTATTTCTGATCGCGATATTTTCGAAATCTGAAGAGTTCTGACGAGCAGGCAAATATTTGGCAGTCATTGCGATTGCGAGGACTTTTAGTGGTCGAAGGACATGGTTGCTATTTCGGTAGAGATTTTCGATGCTGCATTAAGCATCCTGTCACTTCGCCTCGAAAATAGATCCGCGGCCGATGTTATTTGCATGAATCGCCGCATTACGTTACATTCAAGCCGTAATAACATTATTATAAGCATATTTAATTTACCCTTCTCCTTCCAAAAGGCTTGTAATGGTCCCGCCTCATTGGTCTCCGTAAGTGTGCCATGCTGAAGGGCGAAAGTTGATGAATCGGACGATAGGTCAAGATAAACGAAAGCTGTGGCGCTGTTTGTTGACAGAGGAGAAGAATAGAACGGATCTGTCACACGTGTCCGGTCGACTGGATTAGTTTTCGTCAGCTTCTCGAGTTCATCGACTTCCGACACGAGGAACGTCGAGTCCTGGCTCGAAGCCGCATTTATCACGCCCTACTGTTTCCTTTGTCCGTTCTGCACAGACGCACGACACGCACACGTTCCACGGGGAAGAGAAGCATCGAAACGGAACCGCCCGTCCATTCAGTCACTCAATTAAAAATTCAAGAGAAACTAAGTTATTGCTTTATGCAAACGTTCCGAAGCGATTCTCCGCTATTTTCGCTGGGTTAAGGTTTGTCGTTGTTAAAAATTCTTCACTAGATCTGAACAAAAATCGCCTTGCACAGAACGTATTTCGGGTGCTATTTGTATTCATTTCGAAATACAGAACTCGAATTCACGTAGTTAAAATTTATGATGCTGCAATGTGGATGGATACTGAGTTCGTTAAACTTCTCTCATTTAGCCAATCGTATGCAAATCTGTCTTACGACGTGGTCATTTATTTTATTTATATGATGTTAAAAAGTTGATAACATTCAGAGCTATTTTGAAAATTGAGAACTGCCACTTCACACATCGTCTGATCTTTGGATCGATGCCTACAAGCTAGTGTAACAGTCGGTGACGTCGTCAAGAGTATATATCAGACACATAAATCTCTAGCCCTGACCTTGAGTCATCACCATAATTTTTTGCTTGTCAAAGAGATAAGATAATTATAATAAATCAGTGACAAATTTCGTAATTGTCACATAAAAATTGCATTTGGAGCTGGATCGAATTATGGACATACATACATTTAATTACATGACGCAGAACAGAAAATTGAATTAAATTAGAATAAAATATTTATAGCGCCCTGCGCTGTCCTATTTTAATCGCAGTAAATTCTATATTTTTGTCATACAATTCGGAAACTTCTTTGTTGAACGGCGTTAAAAATGGAGTTTCAATTTTCTAATAAATTTTTTTCGACTTCTCTGATCATCTCTAGGGATTCTAAAATATAGCTACAAATTTAACGCGACCCAGTAAACAATTTCTAATAACGTTAACCCTTGCAAACGCGGTGATTAATCGCTTGTGTTCCACACACCTGCCGGATCCTCGATCAATCCACTTATGTGCCGAGCCACCTTTAATCTTTGCGAAAACTCAACTTTACTATATTAACACCAAATCGATCACTTTGCTATATAGCTGTGCGAAAGTCACGTGCTCGTTTCCTAAGGGACTTTCGATCAAGACAATGAACTCGAGTTACCGCACGAAGAATTGATTCGCGATTTTCGCGTTTATTTTCCGATCGATAGATTCCATTTATTGACGGATAATGATTTCTAGGATTTCGGTGCGAGACGAGCTCGGTGTGGATGTGCTGGTGGTACTGTTGAGTCGAGAGCTTTTGGAACGCACCACGACCTCCCCTGCTATAAATAAAACGACGGCCGCCACACCGAAAAGTCTGCCAACGAGACGGGCAGCATTGATTCGCCGTAATTTTCCTCGTAAAATTTGAGAACTGGGAAATTTTCCGGGTGATGGAAATTAAGCGGAATAGATCGGCGTCTTCGGACGCACCGAAGTATGCCAAGTCACACCGGTGGCACTTTCGATGAAACCTGAATTTTTTCGCCAGTCGTATCTCTTGAGGAATACTGATGATTTTCGCGGATCTTACTTGACAATTTCTCTGTACAGAAGTATATGAGATAAGTTTTGAAACAGTCGCGTTTCAGTGGATGATAAGCCTCAGAACATCAATTTGTTTTGAGCTTTAATTTTAAAGTTCTTCGAATATATTTTTAAAAGCAGTAACTTTTTAAAAGTGTTATAACTATTTTTATTAGAATATGCTTCAACAATTATACTTCTTAGAATTGTTTTGAATGTTGAATGGCTTTGTTGCCAGCTGGCTCGGTACCACTAGTTTATATAGAACTATATGGTTCTTAATAAGAATTTGATTAACGCATTTTTAATTTTTTTTTACTGTTTAAATCGAGTAATTTAATTCTGTTAAATTATTTTATTAAAATTTGGAAATAATAAAAAATAATGTTAAAAGAATTATGCTACTGGTGTAAAAATCGTCATGAAATATATTCATAAGAATTAAAAATAAAAATTAAAAAATTGATTAGCGAACTGACGGACCAGCACAAGATGACAAACTTCGAGATACTCTGCTTATCTTGTCGGATAACTAGATGGCTTGCGAGATATTAACGGTAGGTATTTGCAGTTAGCAGAGTACCACCGACCCAACGCTCTTCGATTAGCAGTAGTATGGTACAAAGTTGTACCATCAGCTGCTTTATCGACGAGCAGTGATACAGTTTTCATCTGGCATGTTAAAATTACGCATTCTACAAATCAATTAACACGGTAACAAAATAATATTTTACTTCTTGAAATAAATAAAATAAATTTTTGATTTTTTAATAATATATTCTTATCAATTTTACTAGTCAATTATCTTTCCACTTCAACAATTAGCAATAAAAATTCAAAGAATAAAATTTAATCAAGTTTTTTCATTGTTTTCAAAATGTAAAATCTTTACAAGTGAGACAAAGTTTTCGTATTTTCTGCAAAAATAGTCGAGAAAAGTTGAAAGCAATTGCGTCATTCTTTATGCATGCAGTTTTACGGGGTCAAATCTCTCAAGTGCAGCAACAGAAAGCTAGTTCATCAATATCAAACTTAATTGTACGCTCAATTGTGTACGCGAATACAATTAAAAACTGTTGATTCACCGCTCATTGAAATCTCTTGGTGAAAAATGAGACTTCTGAATAATAAGATATTTTCTCCCTCAGTTAAACCGCAAACGATTCGTCAAAATTTTCTTACTTGAATCTGTTTTGGAGAGACTGTTTTTACAAATATGCCATTTGAATAATGGTCGCTGTCGTCGAGCAAAACGTCTCTTTTCAGGAAGAATCGATGTCACGCTAAATATACAGAGCTGAAAGTCTTTGCTTCACAGCCGGATGAACGACGCACGCCTCTCTTAGCTGTTACGTTTCCCGCTTTAATTATTCAGCGTCTCGGCATTTCCGCTGGTATTTTCGTTGCCGTGCACTGGCCGCATCGCGCGCGCACATTAAGCGAGACGTCGGATATTATAGCGCGATAAGATTTACTGGTAACGCAGTGTCGTACTACACGAGCACGCCGGAATGTTCAAGGCGAATATCTGAAAAGATATCGTCGAGCAATTGCAGTCGGAACAGAGAATCACATTTCTGCTTATTATCAAATCTGTATCACAAAATATTTCTTTTATTAAAACGAATAGATTACTGTAGAAATATTTTAAAAGAGAAAGTAATTATTTTTACTTTATATGTATGTAAAAAAAAATTTTTAATAAAAAGTAAATGGTACAATTTTGAGAATAATTTTAAGCTTAAACATTTGTTCTTTAAATGTCGAATTTTTTTTTGTCATGCATTTTATATCTAGCAATGTTTATGAAAAAGAATCAGGACTAACTTGTTCGTTACATATACTAATCGGTCGCGTTGTTAGCACTTGCACCTGCCTCTCTTCTCTTTCACGGTTGCATCATTGGCATCGTTACTACCGGAAATGTAGGCCGCTTTGACGAGGCGCTCGAGGCAGATTTAGAATCCTGTGCTGGTCCTAAGACGTGTTTCGCGCGTGCCGAGCGGACTCTTGAATTTTTCCAGAGCGGCGCATGAGATCAGACATCTCTCGTGCCGCTTTCGTGACGCTCGCAGCTGCAGCAGCACGCGGCGCCGCGGCGCTGCACGCCGCGCGAGAAAAAGGTCGAGGCGCAAATTGTTCTCTATTGCGGCAAATTAGCGGACGATCGCTATCGAGAGGCTGAAATTATTCCTTTCCTAACTGCTGCGTGATTCCAGCGGCTACCGATAATGTGCAAATGATTCTAAGTTTTTTAGAACAAAAAAAATACTTTACTATATACTTATCTGTTATTTGAATTTTTTTATTATCTAAAATTATATAGAAATAAATATATGAAAAATAATAAATCTTACGATTGATTTTATTTATATCAACAGTCATGTTTATCCGCTTGACACTTCATGATATATTTGAATTTTAATGATAATGTACGAAGTTTTAATAATATAATGTATGGTTGAAAGATAAAGTAGCAAAATAGAGATATCGAAAAATAATATTTCCCAATAAATGTAATCTTTTTTATGACTTTAGTTTATGTGGTAATAGCTGAATTATATGTGCCGCGGTATTTATAGCTCTACCATTTCAGGTTGCTGCAAGCAGGAACGATGCAGGCCGAGGAGCGGTGAATAAAACTTATCCTGATGGCGAACGCGAGGTACATAAGGTGCTAAGTTCGCCATAGGGCGGTAAGATAGGCGGCAGATGGTGGACACCTGAGCGCCCTAAAGTTTCGGCAGGGAGACGATAAGATCGAAAGAATCTTCGTATATAGCGGGCTGAACCGCACAATTATTACTTTACTTGCAGCCCGGTCAAAGGATACGCCGCGTGCAAAGAGACGAATTAGACGCGCTTCAATATGTGTGACGGCCTTGAACCGGCAACGAAGACGGCGACACAGATAGTCATGAAGGCGAATTAGATCCAATCGAACGATTAAGGACGACCGACAACTGCTCGAGGACTTGGTTACCTCGGAGATAGCGTAATTCGAGTCGGCAATACTCAGCGAAACTGTAATCGGAGATGCGATCAGAACTCGATTATCGTTCTAAGCATGATGGTGAAATTAAAGGAGATCGCTGATCCCGGTCGCGTCTGCGAGGGGATCAAAAATGCATTGTGATGCAAATGAAACGGGTACGGGAACGTAAATGAAAGCATTGAATTGCATTGTGCCTTCCATCGTGAAAATATTTCATATCTATTCTACTCTGACGTACAAAGCTGAAGAAATATTTGGAAAGATAGAGAAACATTTCATACGTTTAAAAAATTTGAAAAAAAATATAAAAGTACTTTTATATTTTTATGTATTCTACTTATTATACGTATAATAAGTAGAATACATCAAAATGTATCCGACAAGCATCTATACGTAAAGTCGTTCCAAAAATGCTGCTGCTTGTACTAAAATAAAATAAATAATAAATACTGTAATCATTTGGAACTTCTTGTGTGTAATTTTTACAGTTCTTTCAAATAAATTTATAATTTAAATTACAAAACACATTCCAATTTTTTCCTTTCGTTCTCACAAAGCGCGTTCAAATTCTCTGTACTTTCGAAACTCGCTACAATGTAGGATATATAATCATTCTCCCAATATTCGTAACATATTATCATCAATGAAGAAACGATAGAAACCATATTTATGATCACAGATCTCGCGCCGAGAAACGACTCTTACCGCAAGAAGCTACACGTGGATAATTTTCCTTTCCTCCATAAAAACCCGATTTCTGAGTCACCGTTAATGCCGTCGGTGCGTACGGAGCCGTGGTTTCGGATAATGTAACTCCTGGAATCGAGAGGTGGGAGTCGACCCGATAATTATACTGGTCGTTGCTCTAGGCGCACGGCATACCGACCTGTTAAAGGCGACGTGTGCACGCTCTTAGAAACGTGTCGTACGTTTTACAACCGCGTTATTACACGATCGTGCCACAATTCATGCGTCAAGCACACGTCTTTAACGGCCCGATGATTTTCTAGATTTTATAGATAGAGAAAAACGACCTGGACGCACAAAAATGGTTGAAAATTGCCGGTTTTTATGCCGTTTTTCGCATCGATTTTCAATCTCATATTTACGCACTATACTAAATTTTTCATCATTTGTTTAGTCACAAATAACTTAGCTATCTTGTAAATATATATAGATAGAAAATAAAAATCAAAATTGTTCAAGTTGAAGCGCGCGCGTCTTACATGCCGCGTTTACGCGTTTGTCCAACCGGCACACCCGTTACATCAATGTGCGGGTACACGCACGGTACATACGTGTATAAGCATGGTAGAATACCCGTTCAGCTTTCTCTTTTTATAGCCCTCTAAGCACCCAAACCCGACTCTGTACGAGCTTCACACAAAAGTGAAGTTGTGAGCCGCTGCTACACGCATACATGTCACGCGCGAGCGTAAATGTACAACGTGAACGTATTAATGCGACCCACACAAAAATGCTTAGGTACAACCTCTGTTGGGATATTCGGAGATGTAAGCTTTTAAGAGGTTTGCCTGAACGCCACGTCGAGTCGATCATTATTTTCTTCGACCGCGTACAAAAATTAATAAAATCGAAATACCGTTTTTATGTTTTGTAAAATTTTGGCAAAATCTATAAAAATGTGGAAATAAAATTTATTCCATTACAAACTTTGGTATAATTTTAATGCAAATTCAGAAATGTTTGTCCAAAAATTGCAAGAATAATCAAAACTTTTCATTTAAATACTTCGTAACTATAGTCTGATGATATTTCAAAAATCCATTTTCCATCTTTCGAGAGAAGAATCTTTTTCGTATCTCATTAACTCATGTTCAAGCTCCTAATCATCACGAAAGTTCTTCCTGTGGAGTACAAATCCGCGCTCAAGTTACAGTTACGAGTTCTTCGTCCAAATGGAACCGGTTGATAAGCGGCAGCTATCTCGAACTGGTTTCGACGGCACAATGTGGTAATGTGTTCTCCATAAGTTTAAATGCTTATTTAATCAAATTTTCGTTATTCTAAAACTTTGATCTAAATCCCCAGAGGTGAAAAATAACAATCTTGATTATTAAAGCAGAAATACAGCAAAGCATCGAATTAGTATCGTTCATCGCTGTGCATTACGTGTATCAGCAAAGATATCATTACGCGGAAAATTGCACAAAGGAGCGAAATGGTTGGTAATGGCAACGTTTGCCGCTGTTTCCTTTCAATTTCTCGACATCCGCAAAGTGGCGCATCGATACGCCGGATAATAATGTTATTACCGGCACGCCGTAGCCAAGAGCCAGAAGTACGCAAGAAGTCGCTCCGGAATTCTCGGATACCCGGAATCCGTTCGATATCCGTCCGTCCGTTTACTGTAAGTAGTGCGAGTACTCGGACACGCGTGCAGTACAAATTACTTCGGTAATCGCTCCGGGTGTTTACAGTCATTGGCACGTAAGTGCCATACACGTGCCCGATCAGCTGTGCGTATGTGTAAGTCACA